TCAACCTTCGGTGGTTCTAATTCGGACCATAATGACTTCCAAATATCTCCAGGTTGTTTAAATGATGAGTAAAAGGTTTGACAAAAGGAATTTGTAGTATATAAGTGGTTGGTGTTTTCGTTCCAATCAATCTTGTTAGGTTTAGATTTGTGGGGACACATTTTACAAATCAAAGACACAAGTTCCTCCCATTCTTGAAGTTCCCAAACAAACGGTGTTCTTTTAAGGTTGACATGCCATTGCCTAGAGTTGTCTAACCATGGACCCAATTCTACAACAGAAGCCGTCTTATTTTTGACAAGTGCAAAAATATGGGGGAAATGTAAGGAGAGGATGCATTAATGAGAGTGGTTTGAATGTTAATGATGATAAATTTCCTTCAGCTAATCCTTACATAAGTAGCCAGCATACCCAGTAGGTCAAACATTCCTTGATAAACTCATCTTTGGTAGGTATTGTTTCTCGTATTACTTGTTTTAACATTGTTAATAATCTTCCAGTTAGATATAAACATGTGAATCTTTTCATGCTTAAGCAAGGTTCCTGGATCATAGACACAAGAGCAACAGATCATGTATCTTGTACTCTAGGTAATTTCATTCATGCTAAACCTGTTGTCAACTATTATGTTCACCTTCCAAATAATACCAAAGCCCTTGTTTCACACATTGGTACCGTCAAAGTGACTTCATTACTCACCTTTAAAAATGTCCTATATGTTCCAAGCTTTAAATTCAATTTAATATCAGTTTCTCAGCTCACTGATTCCATTATAAACTCTATGTTCTGCATTGATAAGGTTTGCCTTGTTCAGGACCTTACCTCTTGGACATGTGACTGGTGTGGCTAAAGTGCGCTCAGGCCTGCATCTCATGTCGAGTAACAGGGATGAAAAGGATCTGTCCAAGTTCAGTCTTGAAAAACTAATTAAATTTCCAATTGTTTCTGTCATGAGTGGTTGTGGTTCTTTTCAAAATAATGTTTGTACTTCAACTCCAAAGTCTTTTGATTTGTGGCATTTTCGTTTAGGTCATGCTCCATTGGAGAGAATAAATGTATTGTATAGATAACTTTTAGACATACATTGTTCAAATAATCTTCTTCAATGAAGTGTGTGTCTTTCAGAATAGTAAAGAAAATTACCAATTTCTGTTCATGTTCAAAGCTCAAGAAATTCTTTTGATCTTATTCATGTTGATATTTAGGGGCCTTATGAGGTCCCGACATTGTCTAGTCATAGATTTTTTTGACTATTGTTGATGATTTTTCTTATTTTATATGGATATTTTTGATAAGATATAAATCAAATGTGTTAAGTATTTTTTCATCTTTTCAAAAATTGATTCAAAATCAATTTCAAACATCAATTAAGGTTTTAAGATTAAACGATGAATTTGAATTTAAATTAAATAACTTTTATACAAAACAAGGATCATTCATCATTTATCCTGTAATAAAATACCTAAGTAAAATAAGTTGGTTGAAAGAAAGCCCCAGACACATTTTTATAATTTTTTATGCTTTTTCTATTTTCGGTTTTTTCAAACCTAAGATTTTCTATGGAAAAGGTGATTTTCCAGGGTCTTCAAAAGTTTCTTCTTTTTTTATTTTAGCTTTTATTAAAAGAAGGCCCCCCTCCCTTTTTTTCCTTCACCAGTTTTTTATACTAGAAGAGATAGTCCAAATCCCCGATAGTTTGGGATTTGAGGTGGTCCAGCGTGACATCCCAGTCCCCAAATCCCCCTGCCTTAGAGGGTAGATAGTGCCAAGGTTCAATGTGGAATTGGACTTAAGATTTGTTCAGATTTTAATCTTAAAAAGGGTCCAATCCAATTAGACTCACATCCAACTTTACCCAATGTTAAATAAAAATAAAATAAACTGAAGGCTGAAGCTGATAGAAGCATATAATGAAGGCTGAAGCTAATTGAAGAAATAGAAAGAAATAATCACATATATGTCATGTGACTTTTTTGTTATTTATATAGCTTATTTCTTTATTTTTTTACTTTTACTTTATTACTGTTTACTATTGTGGTAACTAGTTAATTAGCTTTGCAATTAGTTGGTTAGTTGATGGTTAGTGCACTTTTCTCTTACAAAGTACTATAAATAGGCTTCTTGTAAACAGCTTTGCTTTAATGAAGATTCATCAATTCTTCACCAACTCCTCGTCTTCACTCATTAGTTTTCTTAGTTTCCTATTTTCAATCCTCCAGTCTTAGCATTTCAACATCATGCATATAATTATTTTTTGCTTTGGATTTATTCATATGAGGAATATTGATTTATGAATGCTTTGATTTATTCATGTGACAGAAATTGATTCACAAATGATTTGGTTTATTCATATGATAAACATTAATTTATGAATGTTTTGGTTTATTTATATAATGAGTATCGATTTGAGAATGAAATGAAATTTTTAATATTTTTTAAAGAATATTTTAAGAGTTACAAAATGACTTTTAAAATATGAAATAATCGACACCAAAACTAGTTTTACAGTCTTAACAATATATAATAATTAGCACATGATTAAAAAGTCTAGAAAGATTATTGAGTAGAACAAACCTAAGTCCGATCAATTGAAATTTAATATTGATGAGGTTGCGAGAGGTAATCCAAGGGAGTTCTGTATTGGAGGAGTTCTTAGGGATGATAAAGGTAGAATCTTGGTCACTTTTTCCAAGAGGATTCGTGTGGGGGATGCAAATCAGGCAGAGTTATCTGCCATTAAGAAAGCTTTATTGATTTCTGTAGCATCTAGGTGGGTATGTTCTTATGCTTTTCTCATTGAAAGTGATTCAGTAACAGTAGTCAAATGGTCCAATTGCCCGTCTGCTACTCCTTGGAGATTGACGAAACAAGTACTTCAAATTATACATTTGAAGAAAGTTTTAAAAGATTTGGAAATACGTCATACTTCAAGACTGACAAATGATATTTCCAACAATCTTGCCACAGTTAGTGTATGCCAAGATGATGATTCGTTGATGTTTCATAACGTATAAGGTTTCTTAATTCTGATTTATTTATTGTTTTTTGGTGATACGGTGATTATGTATTCTCGAAAGATTGGATGACTCATAAGGGTACTGCTGATTATTGCTGACTCCTTTTCGATATTTAACTGCTAGAATTTCTTACAGGGATTACTGTGAGAGTTGGCTGATTTTTTATCCACATGCTTTCACTTAGTTTTGCTCTATGTTTTTATTTTCTGGTTTGATATTCATCAGGGAGTTTGTAAAGTTTTTTCTATGTTGTCCTTGGGCCCCTGTGTATGCTGTCATTTTGGTTTAATGGGATAAACCTGGACATCTGTTGGTATATAGTCTAGTTTCGTGTGTTCCATTAAATTGAGGGTGGAATATTTATATTCCTTTTAGCTTAATAAAAGTATATTTTCAATTTTCAAGAAAAAGTTGCCACACGATCTTACTAATGGGATATAATAGTTAGTATACAACCCTACGAATGACATAATTGTTACTAATAATCAACCATGAGAATGATTCATTGATACAATCTTTATTATAGGATACAACAATGACCATAACTAAAGATGATGAAATAGTACGAGTTTGATTATTGAATTTATAATTTGCTTGAATGATATTTTAATAATGATATTTGATAATTAATAATTTATGAATATATCATTTTTTTAATTGAGATAAGAGGGATTCGAGCCATGCTTTCTATGTAGAGAGATTATGCACCAACTAATAAATCAAATACTTAGATACTATGTACTTATTAAATTATTTGCTTTGAATATGATGAATTTGACAATTTTGAAAACATAATTTAGTGAAATGCTCTTGAGTGGTGTATATAATATATTAAAAACAATGCTTGATTTGGTAAAGTGTGTGAGGCTATACTTGCTACGCCATGGTTTGATCATTCCTCTACTTACAATTTTGCATATGACTAGAGACGAGAGCTTAAGAATTATGAGAGCTAAGAGAACAATTTGAACAGTCAATTTTAGTATTAAGACATAGTTAGCTATTTTGAGACTCTACCATATGTTATTGATATTTTAATTTCTAGTTGTTTAATTAATTTTCATTTTAGAGACTTTAGTTTTAATTGTAATAGTTACATAGATAAGAATGTAAGTATGGAATTGCCGATATGACTGCATTTGAGAATTTATATATAAATAAAAAATAGAAAGACTTCCTATTACTTTGAGATTTAGTCCCAATGATTGTGTCATGTTTCAAATTCGTGGCATGATACTAACCAATCAAGCTAGTGGGCAAGCAATGTGACACGAAAGGTAGAGTCGGGAAATTGCTGTGGAGGAGGTTCCTATAGCATTTCAAACCGCACTAGTGGTTAGAAGCACATCAAATAACTAATACTCAGAAAAATAAAATATGGTCTGTTCATGAAGCGGAAATGGACATATATATTAGGCATAAATAATTTATATATGTGAAGACTTTTTAATAATTTGTAAATACTACTGATTAATATACTTTATGTAAGTAACTTCCATATTCATGAAACTAATACAACTAGTTATTATTCATCCAACCTTTTACAAAGGGTTAAAGAAACATAAAATGTTTGAATAAATATCATGTTGATAATATTTTCTTTTATAAGAATAAGAAAAAAATGTGACATACGGATCAAGAATTTAGGAGAAGCATTTCACATATTTGGGATTACTGACTTTGATTTGGAGTCTTAAGAGCAACTCTGCATTTTGTACAAGTCATTCCAGCTTGTTAATCTTCCATCACATAGATAATTTGTCGATGAGTTAGGCACAATCGCTATAGCTAATGCAAGATACAAAAAGAATTCAAACTTTGCTTTTCCTATTCATATAAAAATTGGAGAATGACTTTGGGCACCTAGGCCTTGTGAACCTCTATGGATATAAGAGAAATTGGAGACAAAATTGGACATATCTACAAATCCCCAAGACTCCATCACTACTATAAGATAATTTACAGACTAAGTAATGTTTTGGGTTTTTTTTTTTTTTTGCTTCCTGCTTGTTTATGGAAGCTTATACTGCAGATTGCAGCTGTCTAGGAATCTTCCATTTGTGCAAAACCTTGCCAACAACGTCATAGAAGGCAAAGGCAGCACCTGTTTGAGTCATCTTCATAGACATGAAACCTTGGCCGTCATAGACGAACTTTAAAGCATCATTATCACGGTGTTCAATGTCACCCCTCCATGCTTTTGAGCCTCCTCCACTTGTTAAATACTGAATCGAACTGCGTCCATTTCAAAGACATGGTTGACTTCCAGTGAAAATCAAACAAATCAATCTCAACCAAACCAAAAAACTCATTTGTCACAAAATGTTAGTAGCAAAAGTTTACCTATCAAGGCTTGCAATGTGTTCCAAACAGTGGTCATGCCCATTTATGTAAAGATCAACATTGTTGGCCTGAAATTTTCAATGAAATAAAAGATATTGGTAAAGATTTGATGCTATGCTTGTCATTGTGAGTGGTCGGATTATTAGCAGACCACATTCTCAGCGTAAATGGAATAACACTTTTAAAAATATTTGTTTAACAATCAGATTACCTTAAGTATTGGAAGTAGATACTTTATAAGCTCGGGAGTGTCGCCATGATGCCCAACGCTTCTAATTGCATGGTGACCAACAACAATTTTCCACTTTGCAGTTGACTTTCTCAATGCTAATTCCACATCCTAATCAAATTGTGTTCATTAATTTCTCATTCACATGTTTTCAAGCCTAAAAAGACTCTGCTATTCACCTTGAGAAGATGAGAAACGTAAGTTCTTCGAGGTTCTACACCTCTCCAATCATAAACATGGTCTGGCTCTACGAAGTAGCTATCCACGAATGGAGTGGTGTCAACAAAGATGAAGTCTACTATTTCTAGAAAAACAAATTAAGAAGAGAAAATATTATACTATGCTGGTTGATATTATAATTAATGTCGACCAAATAGAGATTAATTTACCTGTGTCAAGGATGAAGGATCTTAGACAAAGCCATCGTTTATCAATCTTTCGTAGAATAGGACTCAGCTGCGCCACTGCATCACCTCTATAATCGTGATTTCCCAAAACTACAAAAGTAAAAGGATTACCCTTTAAGTCTTTTTAGAGGAAAAAAATTGCAGGAAAGGGAATGCAACTCATTGGGGAGATGATATGGCAATGAAGACTTACCACTATACCATTGCTTTTGCAAGCTTTTGGCGGTGTAAACTTTTGTGAAGGATTCTCTAAATGCTGGATCATATACACCTTCTAACCCATTATCATAGAAATTGTCACCTGTTGAGATGACAAAGTCTATATCTAGTCTCTCTCCAATCCTTCCCATCTGTAATCCATGCACTTTTCATGAAAGTTTGCATAAATTTTTCAAGAACGAAATCAAAAAATTATCAACATTACTTGGTATATGGAAATAATGAAGAAGTTGGACCTGAAAGGCAACTTTAGATTGATTGTAAAGCCCTTTCCTGCCCCAGTCTCCAACAACCAGAAAGCTAAGCGACCCATCACTTTTTATGGGGTGTTCAAACCTTTGAAGCTCGGCAAAACTTGGAACCAAGACTGCACAAAACACAACCACTAAACAACGTAGGTCCATAGCTCTTGTTCTGAAATGGGAAGCCATGGATGCCATTGTCACCATGGCTTTTTCCAGAGGAAATGGGGGAATAGGACAAGGCTTCAGAAGGTAAGTAAGTGGACAGAAGGGAAGAATCTATCGATCGAAGCGAGACAAAAAAAAAAAAGAAAAGAATCTAGGTGAATAGATGCTTTCTGATTAATGAAATGCTATCGGGAAGCCTAATTTGATGCCATTTATATAGAGCAATCTTGAAAATGTTCTAACTGGCCGACCATGTTTCAAGGATACTTGACTATTACAGGAAAGCAAAATGGTGGTAGCCTCTTTTGCAAAAGCTGTGGAAGACACTTGCTCAGATGTTTCTGCGTCATCCCTCACCTACATTTCATTTCTTCCACCTCGCTATGTTCTTATCTAAATCTAGAAAACTGTTTTATATTCCTCAAACGATTTAAGGCATTTTAATATTCCATAATAAATGCATATGAATTCTTACCCAAAAAATTGAATATGGATGATGGATCCTCTCTCTACCAACAAAAAGAAATTCAAAGCATTTTACAAACATATACATAATCCATAAACTTTTAACCATTTACTTTTAGAGGCTCCAAATTGCACTTAATAATCTAGCTAATATTTTTGGAAATTAGAAATTTAACTATACGCTATTTAATTTATTATTTGTGTGTGAAAAAATAGTCATCTTTAAATTGATTTTATATTTTAGTCATTCTGCTTTTTTTATCGTATATGATTTTGGTATTCATTATTTGATTTTAATTTATAAGAATCTTTTCATAAAAAAGTTTTATAACAACTTTAATAATGTATAATTCAGATAAAACAAGTAAAAAATAATAACAAAAAATTAAGATTTTTTTTATACAACCACAAAGAGTGTTGAAAACCGAAATTAATAAATTTATATTCCTTCCGTTACAAATTGAATGTCTGTCTTTTCTTTTTTGACAATTCCAAAATTATGTCCACTTTTCTTTTCTCAAAACTTAGAACTCGTTTTTTGATATGTTCCATGTTAATTTTTTAATTTTTTCTTTCTGACATAAAAAAATTATAATTTATCAATATTATTAATATTTATATCAAAATAATTTTCTTAATTTTTAGCTCAAATCAAACATGAATATTCAGTTTCCAATAAAGGGAGGTATGAAAAACATATACTACAATATATCAAGAATTGGGCTTAATAGCCACGCCTGCCTTGCTTTAAACATCAAACCTGGTCCAAGGTGATCTATTGGGCCATGCTGAGCTTGGAATTCTGGCTGACTCCATTAAATTAAAGCCTGATTTGAACCCTTGTTAACCAAGCAACAGACATCGTTATTAGCTTCAATAAACTCTTTCAGGAGAATATTAAGCATTGGTTATTGGTTATTGAACAGGCCTCTAGCTTTAAACGAGCTACATTGGATTTGGTGCCAGATATGGTTAAAGTTGACATTCAATGCAATCAATCCAAACCAAGAAAAGAAAAAAGAAGGAACAATGGTTTTAAACTGACCTCACATAAATAATTGCTCAAACAGTGCAAGAATATGTTTACTGGTATAACAAAGTATGAGTTTAAACAATACACAAAAATACACACTAGAAAATCTTCATTGATTGACACAGGAAGGTTCTATATTTCTGGCAATCAATGTGTATAAGAAGATAAGCTGTTCATCCCAAATCAAGGTGTGATCACAGGATCAGATCATGAGAAAGTCCGCCTCTTCTTTCTAGCTAGGATCAAACCGTACCCTGGATGATATCCCTTCCCCTTGAGCCTAATGATTGGCACCTAAAAGAGATAGCAGAAAGGTTCTGTAATGGCCTGATGTTTCAGAATGGACGGCATCATTCAAAGTTTTCCCATACTTTTTACGGTATTCTGCCTTTATATAATGCAGGTCAATCTCGGCCCTTGTAACAACAATCCTGATTAGGGCAGTGTCAGCCGTTCCTAGACCTTTCATTGCCTTCCGCAATGCCTGTAGTTTAGAAAAATCATGTCACCATGGGTGTTACAAGGACATTCAGAGTTACTGGTTCCTGTTTTTCCATTTAAGGGGGCTAAAGGGGGAACTCTGATGAGGAAAATTGAAAAGTTCATTGAACCTTCATGATAAATTATTTAATCAAAATTCAATATCACAAACCATTGTTGGCAATGTAGAACCTCACCTTAGCATAGAACTTTGCAGTACTTTCTGCACATCTTAATATGGTTTTAAGGGCATATTCAAAACTTTTATGCGCTTCATCTCTTATTGCCTGCGTTAAGTTGAAAAAAATTGAGCATCACATCAAGGTTCGTACTGAAACACAAAGCTTAATACTAAAGAGTAGAGTTCGGAAAATTACCTTCTCTAAGGGTTTTTTGTACATCTTTTGGTAGCAGATACTAACAGCAGCAAGGTGTGCCCTGCTTCTTTCACTGAAAATCTGTATGAAAGTCTTTTCTTCCAGTCCAAATTTCTTCGCAGCTTTATGCAGAGCTTTAGCATCGTTCTCTACCACAATGTCATCATATTCTGGGCCGTCATAGCGGGATGTACTTATGAAGGCTAGCAACAACTGCGTAAAATCAAATCAAGCAACGACTGTTTCAATATGGAAAAGCATCAAGAAAGGGTGAAAGTTAATTGGCAATAGACATACATGGCGCTAACGCCAGATGACAACATTTTAGCTAGCTGAAAGAACTAATCTCAAATCCTTAGGTTTTCATTCTTGTTTTCCTATTTGGTCATACAGCACAAGTCATGAAAGTACTTCCTCACCTCCCACGGCTGCTCAGCTTCAACCCTCTATTGAAAAGCATAAAAAATTATCACATACAGCTTTGGACCAAGAATGAAGTAGATTTGGTGCTACTGCTGACTGATATGAAATTCCTATAGATGTGATTTCACCATGACTACCAGAGTCTAAAAGGAGTCACATATTGTATAATGAGGATAGAAAGAGGACCTTCTTATGATCACCAGATGCTTCAGATTCAATGTCATCTTCAAGATTAGTACCAATATGTGTAAAATAAGCTCGCTTGAGTTGTCCAATCTGGGATGAAGTACGAGAACATATTATTTCGGTAACAGCTTTATGATCTTTAACAGTTCCTTTTAAGGCATTCTTCACAATGTTAGCATCGCGTGCCCCTGGCTCTTGCATCCACAGCAATACTGCTTTCTAAGACCAGCAGACAAAAGTTTGATCACAGTTGGTATCAGTAACCATTGTCAATTGCACATTTATGAACCCGGAAAAGGGAGGGCTCCTGACAGTTTACTTCTTGCGAACAGAATTTTACAGAAAAAATGAGTACAACTTCCCATGTTAATTACCTTGAAATGGCCATTCAGCTCTGACGACAAACGTTTTCTAAGTTCCTCAGTGTACATGGTTTCATATTCTTGTTGGATGTGAGAGCGTTGTGTAGCATTCCTGTGAGCTAGAATATTGATAATTGCCGCACTATCACAGCCTATTCCTGCAATGTAACAGAAGCAAGAATGTACATCACAGCCAAAACTTTTACAATTATTTATGAGCCCATGCTCATCATGAAATACGCCTTGCACCTTTTTATTTCCCCTATTAGTGACTGGAAAAAAATTTCAATTGCTAATTTGTGTTGGGATGGCATTTGGAAACATCATGTTTCCACTTGTCTTAGATAATCTGTATTCGATAATCCCAAACCATTTCGTTATATTGCATTTCCTTCCATTACATGTGGTTAAGTTGTAGAATATCCCTGATTTTCACATGTAAATCAGGGTAAAGTATTTATTTATTAACAAGGAAAATTAGAAGAAGCCCATAACACAGATTTGCAAATAATTATCACATAAATCTGCCTGAAAGAAGAAACTAAACTAAGACTAGATATTATTGTTTGTGATATATATGATTCAAGCTTTTAAACGAAGCAATTCTTATGCATGTTCCAAAGGTTTAAAAATGGCCAGGTATTAAGATCATCCTCAACTTATGGAACTTCAATCTTGAAGACGGTAAAGCCATTTAAGTTGTGACCTTCAAGATTCCAATTTTCTGGGAAAATATGATTGTTCCATTCGATCTAATTTTCTCTTCCCCACCTTGTTAAAAGAACCACATATTAAAGAAAAATTCGGTTTGTAGTTTACTGGTTTCATGGAAACTCTTCTCACGAAGAAGGCTATGGGAATTAAATCTAGAAATATGAAAGATCTTGTAGTTGCATTTGGCTTCTTTAACGCATTCCCTGATATTCTAAACCAAATGGGCAGCGCAATTTCTCATTGCTGCAGGCAAACAATGAGTCCTTAATATATTCATTGATTATTAAGGACATAAACTCATGCAATGAAATCTACAAATTAATGTAAGTTGGAAAGAAAAGATTGTAGAGAAATGGATAAGAACGATTATAATATTGACCTTTGAAGGCACGGTAGATTTGCATGGCATCATCGCGGGCGGAAGGTGCCACCGGAGGTATTTTCACAGTCGACATTCCTCCTCTCTCTTCCTCTCCCCCTCTCCCTCACGTTTAAGGAAACTAGAAAAGGAACGAAGGCGTGTACGAATGCAATAAGAGGAACGTAAACATAGTTTTCCTCCCATGCATTTAGGATTATCCACCAATTCATAACCAACCCATGTACTTAATTTCAACCTTTATTTTTAAACACCTCAAGGTTTTTAGTTAATGGATTAATTAATGTCTTGAATTATACATACGTATATATAAACCCATGCTGCTATATAGGTTCTATATAGTTTTCGTTTATCCTTTTCAAATTGCATATTGGTTATTTTCTTTTTCACTATTCACTAATCACAAATTAGTTTTCAATTGAAGCAAAACCAATCACATGCTAACTAAATCACTTATTGTAGATAAAAATGTGCTGTTATATTAGCCCTAAATTGGGCAAAAAGAACATTTATTTTTGGTACATACGAGGGAGTAAATAATAGACATAATGTTCCTTATGAACTAAATATTATCAAAGAAGAGGGACTACAAATGAGGGGGTGTATTCGAAAACTTTTACCTTGTTGAAGGTTGTGGGTGGAATAGAAAATATATGGCAAAAAATACCACATCGAGACACAAGAAAGTATGTTTTGGGTTAAACTTCAACTTGAAAGTACTTAGAACATTAAATCCCTAAAAGAGGGAGTGCATATGTGTGTACAGGTATAAGCAGAGGTCTACTAAGTCTTAACCTATGCAACAAAAGATACTTTTATTTCGTTCTATAAATCCTAAATAAAATTGTGATTGTAATGGGTTTAATTAATTGTATCCTTATATTATCTCTTCATATCAATGATTTAGGTATTATTATATTGATCCTAGACCTTTATATTTTTTGAAATTGAGTTTAAATTGAATGTCATATAATCAATTGAAACCCCATTAAGTTGAATTATGTCTTACAAATAAGGTGCAAGATTCGTATTTTTTTTTTGTTTTGAAATGTGGAAGATTCACATTTTAATATAATGAAATATTCTTTTTTTGGCAAAAAAAAAAAGATGATTAAGTTTCAAGTTTTATTTGTTAATTGTATAGTTGCTTTCTCCAAGCCAGTCTTTTATGTTAATTAGAGTCTCTGGTAGTTACAGCTAGAGACTAACAATGGCATATCGATTCAATGACTATATTTCAAAAAAATAAAAGTTTCAAGTTGTATTTTTCGTATGAATGTTTTACATTCTCCAACAAAATCATACAATGTGTCTTATTTTTTGGGTGAAAACTAAACCACACTATGCCCTTAACTCACTTGGATCTTTAAACTTAAACTTCAATTGTATAATCAATAATTTTAAGCCATGATATAACTATACAGAAAAAATTTATGACGAACTTTACATAAAAATTCTGTTTAATTCTTATTTCCTGTTTTCTTATACAGTGGGATGAATAATATATAAAAAATTAACCACTTGGGTTATATCTTTATTGCTAGTAATTCATCCAGGAACATAATATCTTAGATGATCTTAGATTAAAAGTTATTGTAGTATCTAGACATGCATATATATCCATTTTATTAAAAAAAAAAGAATTGCTCTTTTTTGGCCAATAAAAATTAATCACATAATAGCCAAAAATATAAACATTATTTATTTTTAAAAAATCAACCAATGTTTAGCCCCGGCAGCAAAGACAGGGTTTAATCAGACAAAAGAAACAAATCAAAAGACTATAATTTATTGGAGTGCAACGTAACAAACCTTGAAATTAAATCCGAAGGCTGAAAAGTGAAATAGTGGTCCCGTTGGTATGTGCCCAATGGGATTTATACAAAGTTCACTAAACTTTATGCTTTTCGGAAACCCTAAATCATAATTAAAGGTTAATTAGCTCACGGCTAATTACGTCATTTGGACTTCTTAAACCCTAATTAAAAAGGATGATTGGACCAATGATGTTTTATTTGCGGCAATATTTTAAGTCTCGGTTGGGAAAAGCATTGATTATATTATCTTCGTTACCAAACCTTTGCACTTTCTCTCCTCCTAACGCACTTTTGTTCTAAGATATCCAACATGAATATGGGTTTATGTGCAAAATTAGTCTATCTTTTATACTAATTATTACATTTTTATGTGCATTCTTTGCCGCCGACCATCCAATATTTTCTGCTTTCCTTCTTTCATACAAACTAGATTTGCATTTGGACTAATATATATATATATATATATATATATTATATATATTATATTTAAATTCAAATTTATTGTGGCCGTTGCATCGCATTTTCATGCTTTTAGGAGCCAAACCAACTGCTTCTATAAATTAAGAGAAGGGACTTGGAATGAAACTAAATTAATAGTGAACTAAACATAATATGAGCATAAAAAGAACATATATATATATATATAACGGCAGTTCTGCATTTATATGTTTATTTGCTAACTTGGCCCAAAGATGCCAATGCATATTTGTAAACGCTGTAGATTGAAATCTTCTTAAACAAAAATTAAAGTTTAAAAAAGGATAAAATACACTGAATTTTTAAACTTTTGACCATAACTATATATGGGTCCATTAATTTTAAAAATAGATACTTCACCTCAACCATATAAATGATATTAATGCCTAAATGAAAAATATATAAAATACCTTTCTTCTTGTTTCATTCTTTTCCTTTCTCTCAAGTTGGCCGACGATGCTTTCTTACATTGAGTAAATCTCTCTAAAGGAGTACAAGATCTAGTTACGCAGCCTAGATCTCAGGCTCCTCGAGGAAGCACTAGATTTGGTGCTCTCCTGAGGGAGCACCGTCAACAGCAAGATGGCCAGTTGAGAGCATTTTTCTAAAAAAAGAGAAAAAAAAATTAAAAATATAATTTATATAGTAGTAATTTTTAAAAGTAATGAAAGGTAAAATTATTTTAAAAAAATTACCACATCATCAAACTAACTGAAACATTGACGGTTGATTAACGACAATATTTATGTGTCCAGCGAAAATGTTTTTTTTAGTCGAAGTGTCCATTTTAAAAATTAATGAACTTACATATAATTATGATCAAAAGTTAAGAGAGTTAGTGTATTTTACCTTTTTAAAAAATTTCAGACAAAAGCATATATGGTCAAGACCAAGGTCGTTTAGACCTAAGAGGAATGAATATAGATTCGAGTAAATTGAATTAATTTGACATAACGTTTGAAAAAGCTCTTAAACTATTTAAAACGATTCAAATCAATACTTATTTCTCTATTGCATTTAATCAGGTCTTTATATTTTTATTTTGAATCAAATAAGCCATAAATTATAACTACTAGTTGACTAATTACCACAAGTTAAAATATCACTTATCTTATTACTTTTTTAAAAAAAGTGTCACTTGTTAATTTATATCCACGTGATACTGACGTGAAATGTAAAAATTAATAATAGCATTATCTTCATCAATTATGATATGTCAGCATGTCATGACAACAATATTAGGATATAATTACAAGTGACAGTTTGACTAACAATAATTAATCAACCATTAATCATGATAAAGACTTATTTAACTTAAAATAAAAAAAATTAATTAAATATAATAAAAAAATAAAAATTTATTTAAATTATTTGGAATAATTTAAAAAGTTATTTTAAATATTATGCTAATTAGTTTATAAAGTGGTCTCAAATTAATGAGTTCTCATACATTTTCACTACAATTTATTTATGAAAATAGTAAAGAGTCTGAAAAGTGATCCTTCCAATAGTAAAAATAAACTGATCCCAATACTAGATATATATTTTACTTTGTATTTCCAACTTAGGGTTATTGTATCACCAAATCTTTGATCCCCAAAAGATTTCCCTTTTTCCCAACTAATGAGCATAATGATACAGTTAATTAAGGAAAGCACCACTAGGGATTGATGTTCCAAAATATCAAGATATAGTTAATTAAGGAAAGCACCACATCAAGATACAGCTAAATAAACTTTCACACTGTTTGTCAATAGAACTTTCCTTTGTTTATTTTGTCTTTTATAAGCACCAGGAGTAGGAGGTTGGCAATGTAGCTAGCCACCGCATCTCAACGTACAAATACAGTGAAGCCGCTCGAGCCAGCTTGACAACCAAATGTTTCATTCTTTTTTTTTTTTTCTGAAAAATGCACATTAAATTTGTGTGCATTTATATTTTCGAATTAAACTTAATAAACATCCAGCTTAAAATTAATTGAGAAGAAATACAAGATTTGATCTACATAGAAACACCACTCAATATTTCTTAAATATAGTATAAGATAAGCAATTAAACAAATAAGCTTAACACGTGGAAAACAAATCAAGAGCAACAAACAAACAAGAAGTATAACACGCAACTGTTGGTTAGTCTTTTTACTCAGCCGTTTAGGACTTCCTAATCAATAAGAGGAAGATATTTTTACCTTTATTTTAGCAAAGAAGTTTCAAACTGTTAGCTGATAACTCTATTATATAAAGTTATTTTGATTCAATTTGAGAGCTTAGTAGCTAGATCTTTGAGATTTTAGGTTGAATTTACATTTAGTGTTTTTTTAGTTTAAGTTTGATTACTTGTTAATGATTAATTTAAGTTATTTTAGTTAAATTTTGGTTATTTTTATTAAATTACTTTAAGAGTAGTTATTGCTAATTTCTTATGACTTTTGTAAAAATTGATGAAAAAGACTCATTGATGAAAATCAGTGCAATATGGTGATAGCTTCATTCATATATGTTTCAGTATTTTGACATATCTCTTTCTAAAACTCCAAATGAGTGATTCTTGACAATCGAATTATAAGAAGAAGGATACAATGTTTATGTTCACATATTGCCCAGTTCTGATTGATCATGGTCAAAATATTTGTCAAATTCGGACCACTGTAGCAATATGTAAAGACTGAACATGATGTAGTATTTGGAGCAAATCTTTCAATCCAGAAGTCCATTGATTGGATTCTTAATCTTGGAAAGTTAAGAGACAGGATAAAACTTTTATGTTTACTACTTTCCCAGTTCCTAACATAAGGGTAAAACTCACATTTGAATTGATAGACTATCACAGCGCTGGGAGAA